AAAAAAAAAAAAAAAAAAAAACCCTGAAAGTTTCTGTAATATGACTGCACTTGCACTGTTCACCATGTAAGAACTTGTTCGTTATGCTTCAGAAGATTGGCCACTGTTGAGAATTAGGCTTGGGGTTGATTAATGATTGTGCGTTAAGTCCCCTATACAGAATTTTATTGTTGTTAACAACCATTTGATCAATAAATATGAGAGATGCCCTCTCAAAAAAAAAAAATGTTTATTAAAACAGAAAAAAAAAATACTCCTTTAAAATCATATTAAGGGCATGTAAGAAGAAGACTAAGTTGATGTAGATGTGTCTCTGTCTTTCTACAAACAAACAAATGTTGGCTAATATATAAAAAAATTGTTCCAAAATCTGTAGCCATACCAAACTTAAAATCTACTATTTCTCTTGACTTGCCCATTTTACTGAATGGTATCAGTCACCCATGTTTGAAAACCTCAGAATCACCTGAGTCTTTCCTCGTATTTAGTCACAAGTCCTACTGTGCTGAGTTTCCTTTTCCAACCTAGAGAAATCACAGAGTAATGATAAAGAGTGCAGATTCTGGAGACAGAACTCTGCCTGGCTCTGTGACTTGCTAGCTGGGTGATGGTGGCCAAGTTACTGAAGCTTTCTATGCTTCAGTTTCCTTATCTTTAAAATGAGACCAATAGTAGTAATATAATAATGGCATGGTGTTATTGTGAAGATTAAATGAGTTAATTTTATAAAGTACTGATAATAGTGTCTGACACACAGTACTATGTAAGTATAAAATAAATCTTTCATTCCATTTCTACTAACATTGTTACACAGTAGCCCAAATGAACTATGGATCTTACCCAAAATATGTCCAGGATTTTCCTATGTCTATATACCCTTGCTTATGTCACTCCCTTGGGCTGGAAGGCCCTCATCCACGAGAATCATTTTGAGATTCTCCTGCTCACTCTTCATATCACAGATGAAACAACACATCTTGTGTTAAAACTTCCCTGATGACATCCTTTGGGAGGACCTTATATTTCTTAGGATCAATCTTATGGAACTTACCATAATCTTATGGAACTTATCTCTCCTATCAGAAATGTAAGTTCCTTCTAGGCAGGAACCATGTGTTACAAATTGGTGTGCCTAGATTAGTGCTCAGGTGGTTGGCTGGGGACAGGGAATGGGGAGAGAAGAAACAGAACTAGCATTTACTGAGTAAATGGTACATGCCAGACTTACTGAGTATGTATGGGACTGTCAAATACTTTATTTCATTTTTTCACTTAATTATCACATTAATCTTTGGAGGGAGGTATATACACACACATTCAACATCTATTTTCTAAGACCATAATTTTTCTTAGTAGTAATAGTACTTTAGTATTTCTAATTCAACTTATGTCTAATGCTTGGGATAATATTTTAGTTGGTGTATCAGAACATGATTCAATAAATGTTTACTGATATGAATTGGGCACACCAATTTCTCAGCACTCTGGCAGATATTTTTGAGCCAAAGACCAGAATACAGAGATAAATAATACAAGTCTGGAGTATGACTTAAACTCTTGGTTAACTGCATCACCAATGCCTTCTACTCTTTTGTTTATTGGTGACTTCTAGACAAATTAAAAAGAAAAAGTGGCCTATATATGTATACTTATAAAATAAAATGTGTAATATATGTGACATCAAGATATACAAACATATACTGACAAAACAGCTTTCACTGATGAGCCATTTGTAAAGGTCCAAATTACCTCAAATGTCTGTCCTTCTAAGTCTTTTGCATCACACCAATTTCCCCATGGGTCTCGGACCCTACGCCTCCTTGTACGCTGTGATGAGATTAAAATAAAGCAAAGGTACACACAAGATTAACTTGGTGACATCACAGCACATTAACACACAAAACCAAAATGACAATTTTCTAAAAATCAACTAGTTTCTCATTTAAAATACTGTAATCCCTAATCAGCAATGCTTGACTAAATTTTATTAGTTTATGCTCAATAGTTAGCACTCTGTTCAGAAATAAATCTGATAATTTTCTTCATTTTAATTTCCCTTCACCATTTGGGTAATAAAACACTGAGACAAAACATACTATTAAGACCAAAAGAACCACGAAGAAAACAAGATCCCTTTCAACCACTTGTGGTAGAAAATTTGCAAGAACACATAGCAAAAGGTATAAATACTGAAAACTAGAAGCAAAATAGTAACACATCAGTCTTAGGAAAATACTGCTTAGTTAATACAAATAATAAAAAATTATTAAGTTGGTTGACTGGATTATTAATACCCAGTTTTATAAACCTCAATAGTGAAGACTTTAAAATGGACCAGGAGCTAGAAGCCAGTGTATGAGTAGCATCATCTTCAACAACTATATTTAAAAAGATCCTTTTTAAATAAATCTGTGTAGAAATGGTTTACGGCCTAAATACTCTGAGAAAAATACCCACTCTATCATCTATACTTGTTTTCATTTACCTCACCTACTACCAATTTAATCTATTTTATTAATATAGCCAATGAGATCACATGTAACTCTACATTTTAGGAAATTTGGATCCCTTGTTTTTAATTGAATTTTAAAATGCTGTAAAACTCACTAACTTTCAAGAATTAAACAATAAGGGATAAAATATTTTGGATAGCTATTCCAAAAAGCTGAATCTTAAGGGTACGAATTTAAAGCAAACAAAAAAATAACTGAAAGAGAAAAAAGAGCTTAACTTACAGTTTTAAAGATACATTAGATTGAGGAATCAAAACCAAACAGTCTAAGTTCACTTTAGCAAAACATTATGCTTCTGTGTAAAGTCTGCCAGTGAATTTTGAGTTTGTTTTTTCCTTATAAATCAACATGAAACTGAATGGAAATCAGAAAAGTGAATGGCTAAGATAGAATATAAAACATGTTCTTCCACCAAATGGCTATTATTAAACAGTTGAAGAGAAGTGGGCATACCTTACTTAACAGGGTAAGGAGCAATTGGGAGATATCATTTAGTGCGAGGTGACTGCTTACCATAGACTGCAGACGCTGGGCAAGTTGGTATGCATCTACTGTATCTTTTCTTTCTCTGACTCGTACTTTGTCAATTGGTTGTGGCCGGTTATATACAGCCTGTTCTAACAGAATTCAGGAAAAACAAAACAATCTATTATTTTATGAAACTGATTTGCTAAACAGGAAGACACATCTACATTGACTAAATTGTAACAATTTTTAAGTTTTTTAGACCTGAGCTGCTTATCCACAATCCCTACATTTGCTGTGCTACTTGGTAGTTCTCTAATAAGTAGTGCTATTAGTATATGGAATCTCAATAGAATGGGATATTAAGGAAATGGGTAGTTTGTTTAAAGTCTTATTAAATGAATGCTAAGCCCATTTTACTAACCTTTAAGCCTAATACAGAAAATATGATTTCATTTTTCTTTGAGTGGCTGAGGAAGTTTTGACACCTTAGTTTACCTGAAAAGCCAGTCACAATATACAATGATTTGGGTAAACAAAGACAATGAAATGAAGGACAAACTATAAATTCTACCTCTAAAAAAAGTAAAATAATCTCTGACAGGAACTTTTTGGGTTAGTTGTCTTTTCATAGACACAGAATACAGAACATACTCTTCTCAAACAATTGGCTATAAGATTTCTAATTACCTTATGATTAACTTTCTTCAAAATGTTTGTGTCATGTAATTCAATAAAAGGGCATAGTTAATAATATGCACATTCATCAACTTTAAATTTAGGAAAACTTAGGGTGAAAGAAACATTCTTCCATGAAAGATATTTTTGCACTTATATCACATCGAAATGTAGAGGCTCATAAATTATTTCTTTAATTTTAACATTGCTATAGAATTTTTCTTTTACTAGTAAGGCCAACAAGATCACAGGTAACTCTGCCTTTTAGGAAATTTGGATCTCTTGTTTTAAATTGAATTTTAAAATACTATAAAACTCACTAACTTCAAGAATTAAAAAATAGAGGCTAAAATATTTTGGATAGCAATTCCAAAAAGCTGAATCTTAAGGGTAAGAATTTAAACATTGCTAGGTAGAATTTCTAGCATTAATAAAGTATTTGGAAATTAAATGGGCTAGTATTAGACTTTTCATAAGTCACTGCTTTCTTAAATTGTTTCTAGTACCTGGACTGGATAGTTTTCCTTTAAAATCACACCCCCAATATTCATTATAGGTTAAAAGGAAATATAATCAATAGAAATCTATTGTACAACATCTCAGTAATATATTTATATAATAATGTTATAGCATCCTTATGAATTCTGTGCTAAACCCACTTGAATTCTAACCATGAAAGAAATTAATGGGTGCTGTAAGGATACAAAATGTTGAGTAAAAAAATGTTGGGTTTTTATTTTTACCACATCCAAAATTGATTGCTCCTATCAACTCCAGGTATGTATGAATCCGTCCAATACAATTAACATCCCCACAGTTCTTCAGGCCAGGACGTACTGAGGTCTTATTTAAGTATTTCGGTTTGCATATTTCCCTAATTAAGAGAAGGAAGCACAATTATTTCGGGTAAATAAAAACATGAAAAAAGATTTCCGGGGAAAACCTGTAATATTTGAAATATCTTAAAAATTTACCCTCTCTCAATATGTAAATGTAGAAATACAATGTTAATACATAATATCCAAGTATATTTTTTTCTGAAATAAAATATCTTTAACTGATACAATAATTTACAAGTATAGTATGATTTTAACAAGTATTACTTCTTCCTCAATATTAAATTCCAAAGATTGTAGTTACTGCAGGACTTTGAAATTAGAAGCTTATTTATCTACAGACCCAAAAGCAAGCCTGAATCTTTGAATAGAAAGAGTACTTTGATAATATTTTAGTATTAGACTCTTCCAATTTTTTTCCCCAATTTTTAATAAGTTACTAGGTTCATCTATTTTTTTCTTTGCTGGAAAATATCTTTTAATTATAAGCTACCTTATAAATGTTCAAAATTTTTATATTAGTTTTTAATCATGATGCCAATAAATATTAAGAGCTTACTTTCAGTGGAAAAAAGATACAGGTATTACAGGGAATTCCAAAGGAATCAAGAAACACCCAGACTATGAAAAAAATAACTTTACATAATAAAACAAGTATTTACTGAATATAATGTACCATGCTAGATGGTACAACATGATGTTTAAGATTAACAGAGAACTTGATAGTAGCAAACAATTACTGAGTGCTTAGGCCAGAAGCTGTACTAAAAATTATACAACCTTAATCCTCACAGCTCTAAGAGAGATTTTATTACTCTTTTTTCAGAGCTGTGGACACAACGTCAGAGGGATTACTGAACTTGAAGTGACAGGATCCTCACAGACATTATAAACCAACTATTCAGATGTATCATATGAGTATTTATTATTTAACCTTGATTTTAGTTTACAAATATGTTATTTGGTGTTCTATGCAGCAGACATTTGTTCTAGGCACTAAGAATGCAAGCTGAATATAAAGTTCTTGACCTTCGTGATCTTACATTCTAAGAGGAGAGGCAATCAGTCAATAAATTAATGAATAATACATATTATACTGTCAAGTAGAAAAAAGTGCTAGGTAGAAAAAGTAAGAAGGATAAAGTGCTACAGAAAGACAAAGAGGCACAGACTACTCTAGGTAGGGTGTTTAGGAAAGGTTTCTATAAACAGAAGCCAAATTTAAATAATAAATTCCATAGAACTTTAGAGGGCTAAAAAAAAGTTATTATGTGATGTGGAAGGGCCAGAAGTTTCACTGAGAAGTCGAGATTTCTGTGTGTCTTGAAAGAAAAGGAAACAAAATGCACAAATGAAGGTAAGAAAGCAGGAATGAGCATGGTGTAACTGGCTACCACAACTGTTAGGACTCTAAAAACTACTATCTAAAGATTACCCAACTCAAGAGGCTTTAAACAGAGCTTAGTACTAGTTCAGTGGTGAACAAATGGTAAGGCATCTAAAAATACCTGTTCATAACTCATTCACTCCATCTTTTCCCTTAAACAACTGTCTTCTGTATTCTAAGCACTAGGGATATAACAATGAACAAAACAAAAATCTGACCTGTGGAGCCTGCATTATCATTGCAGGATGGTGAGGGAGAAGACAATACACAAATAAAAATGTATCTTTAGTGGTAATAAGCCACATGAAGATAAATAAAATACAGGGTAAGAGCATGAGAGGGAGGAAACACATGGGTAGTCAGAGGCCTCTCATTTCCCTCGAGCAGACCTGAATGAGACAAGGGAGCAAGATTCACCAAGAACTGAGAGTTTAGGGTAAAAGCTTCCAAGGCAGAGAGGAAAGTCTGGGTCTACCTGAATTGGGAGTGTGAAAATACTGAGTCAAGACTACAGACTCTGGAATCACCTTCACTTAATGTCTCCTGGAACAAAAGGAAAAGTTCCATTTCTTTTCTGAACCTTGTTTTTCTATCTGGAGAAACACCTGGAGGAAGAGGTTGTCAAGAGGACTGAAGATGATTTAACAATGCATGGCATTTGGTAGGCATTCCATAATGGTACCAGGTACTATTTTAATAAATAAATTCCCTTAAACAGGGAGTCAATGATTTTACAGAAAGATAATTATTTTAGCTACAAACCTAGTATGCCTCTTTTTATTTTTAAAAATTTAGCTCTTCTATTTTTTAAAAGGCCACCTTCAGTCCCCAACCTCTCTTTTCTATTTATGAATAGAACAGATTTGAGTTACTGTTCAGAACATTTCTTTTTGCTTGCACTGTTTTGCTAAATCACCATATTCAAACATTCAACTGGTTTCATGAACTAATGCAAATGACATCAGGAAACTACTGCCATACTATCTATCCATCCATCCATCCATCCATCCATCCATCCATCCATATATATATAAATCATTTTGCCTCACTTAGAATCCAAATTCAAAGTACTAAATAAAATTTGAATAAAATACCACTGAATATTCATTGATGATTCATATGGATTTTGAATCAATTATTTGAAGTCCTTCAATGTTGGCCATTCATCTTCTAATTTCCAAAAATATCATTAGATATCAATACAGATCTTATCTGCCTTTTGTAATAGCATGAATTAGGCAATGTAGAATAATAGATAGAATGATGTATAGAGTTGAGACTGGCACCGAAGTGTGTCTTCTGTCAGTAGCTAGTTGTATAATCATAGGCAGGTCCCTAAACCTCTCATGACTTTGGAATTGTCCTACCAAATAGAGATTCTACAATCTGCCTATTTTACAGGACTGTAATGAAGATTCAGATGATACAGAAAAAGCTTTCAGTAAACTGTAAAGCACTATGCAAATGTCAGCTGTTCTTTACATATATTCTTTCCTTTGACAGTACCCTTCCCCAGTTTTACTTTTAGTAATCTCAACCATCAACAAGACACCTGCAAGTCAAGAACAAGAACAAAAAAATTTTTTTTAGAATAGGGCTATCTGTAAAAGCTAAATTACTTAATACTGTATGGATAAGATGAAGGTTATTGATTTGATGAGCCTGGTTATTTGTTTTGCTTTGGTAATCTCCCTAGGTTACAGCAGAAGCCTTCTGTAAAGATGGCCCTAGACAGCTCAGTAGTTCCTGAAGCAATTAACAACAATTATCAATGTTTGACGATGTCTTAACCTATTACAAAAAATTCAAATTACTTTCAGAGCACTTAGGCTAATTATCTTGTTGGTTACTTGCCCATTTGTCACTTAAAAATTCAAATAAAAGGTACTGAAAATTTAGATGGTAAATTTCATGTATCAGAAAATTCCTGTACGCTGATGAAGCTGGATGAAGAAATTATTAACATATAATGCCACAAGCACAAAGTGGAAAGCATTTAAGGCAGCTATTTGGGAGAATGGTTCCTGCAATCTAGCCACAGTTTATGACACTCTTCTTCTGTCACCAAAGTTTTCTTTGCACTTCAGAGTACATGATTAGCCAGGAAAGATGTTCTCCCTCTCTTCGAGTGCAAAGTGATTTCTGTATTTTCCTCAACATTGTCCTAAGAAACTGCTTCTTAAGGCAATCATCTATCCTGGGACCAAACATTCTTAATGAACAGGCAGATGGGTTAAGATACCTATAGATAACAATATTTACCAAGGCTTTCAAGAAAATTTCACTATGAGGAATTTTAAGTCTTGCCTATTGAAATATATTAATATGCTAAAGCTCTCTGGATCATTAGCAAAGTAAAATATTAAGTTCCACAAAGGCCTAGTTAAAATACTCTAGAGTATCATACATTTTAAAAACAGCATCTAAAATATAATTCTTCCTTACCATTGATCCAAAATGTAATTCCTAATTTTCAAATAGCGTTCTGGTGTTTTAGCTTGGCGTCCCTCAAAAAACTCAGGAATTGCTTGTTTTTCTTCTTCTTGAATGATATTTCTATCTATTTCTACTTCTTGTTCTGGTGCCTTAAGCTCTTCTTCCTCCTGGTTCTCCTCTTCTATTTGGCAAGGGGAATGAAAAGGCATTTCATTATCACTCAAATCTTTCTGAACTTCACAAGGCCTTGGAGAAGGCAACTGCCAAGCATCATCTATTAGTCCATTTCCATCATGCTTATCACAGTTTTTCATCAGTTTATTACATTTCCAATCATTTAATTCAACTGATTTTTTGTCACTGGTGCTCTGTTTTTCAGTCCAAAACATAATTCCTGAGCTTGAAAGTGTTTCCATCTCATTTTGCTTCATATTCTGATGATATTCCTTGGAAGATTTAGAAATGGGGTCTTCCTGGCTGTCAGAAAGAATAAATTCTCCTTTATGAGTTTCAGGACTTTTAGTATTAGGGATATCTAGTAAGAGATCACTACTAAGATTCTTTTGGGGAGCTTGAGAAGTCAATTCATCTGCCTCATCTGTGATGTCTACCTCTTCATCATCAGATAACTTCTCAATTTTTACAGCATTCAAGTTGGGATCGGCACGGCCCCTCAAACCTGATGGCATCCATGTTTTCGTGCCTTCATCTTCATTTTTAACCTGAAGATCACTGTTCTTCTGATTTGGTGTTTCCTTCTCTGGACCATTTACTTTTACCTTATTAAAAAAAAATCAACATAGAATCCCCATATTAACATCTTAAAATTTAACCTGTGGCACAAAAAAATTGGATAAATACTGTGTTACTAAACTGAGTGCATGTCAATGGCATATTATACTTTTATTGTGAATTTCTTTAAAGAGTTCACAACTGCATTTGAAATGTAAAAGACTATCATTTCAAACTTCCACAAATTATCTGACTCACTCAGGGTCTGGTGATTTTATCAATCAAACAATCATGACCTATATGGAACATTACTTATTTTTCAGTGCTAAGTTAAAATAGGGATGTGGCTCAGATAAACCATAGAAAATGAACCACCAACAACTATAATACTGAGGTATTCTCTAAGATATTAAATATTTTTAAAGGCTTATTTTTCAGAATATTTGATACCTATACCTCCACTGATCATTTTTTATGTTAAACAAGCCTTTATTTAAAGGAACCTATTTCACGTATCTTTACTAAGTTAAAATCATTCTTCATTTAAGTACACAGAAAATAGAAACAACTTTTTTGCAGGTTCATTAAATGTAGCTCCAATATTATAAAGCTTATAATTTAAGGCATCAAATTATCTTCCATATCTGCTATTATAGACATAAATATCTGGTCATGAAATAAGGAAAATAAAATGAATGTCAGTGAGTATATATGATTTGAAATAAACTCTTTACATACAGAGTTTCTGAAAAATCTTGCACATGACTGACATACCCGAGAGATAATAGCTACCAAAAAAGATTATTTGCAGATCCTTATCAAAACTGAATCCCAGGACCAGGTATTTGAGATTAACTGGTTTACTTTGTAGAGGAGAACAAAAGGACAGTTGGAGGGAAAAGGAGATTTGGAGATACAGCCTGAAATATCTTTTAACAACCTTGCTATCTATTTTAAGTCTCCCATTTTTATCATAAAAATTCAAATAAAATTTCACATTTTACTTAATAATAATATATTAGTATTTCTTTCAATATTAAAATGTACCCTTTCCCTCAAAGTCTTTGAGTAAAATTGACACTCTAAGATGTACCACATGTTATATAGTCTGAGAAGCATGGTAGTAGTACTAATCAAGTTAAACTCTATTCTGTCCTGTAATACCTAAACTTTAGCAAGCTGCCTTGAAAATACTTTTGCATGGTTAAAAGGGGGAGGAGATGATATGAATCTACCCTCTTACTTCCTTTGCCCAAATGACACTAAGTTAAATAAATCTTGTACACAACGTAAAACCCATTATTTATATTAAAACACCAAACTGCACTTGACACTTCCAAATTCTATATAATTATGTTCCTAGAACTCAAGCAGAACATATTAAAAATTTCTAAATATCAATAACTACATGGTTGAATATAGCACAGATTACTTGAAAGATGAAGGAACCAGACCATAACTATACCTTTCTGAACACTGCAATTATTAGAGTTTTCAGACAATTCTTTGTAGCAACTATAGAAGTTTCATTGCTATTAAACAGACTTTTGAATCCTGTTAGCATTTATGGCTCCTGATCCTAATCATTCTTTAAAGATTTAATGCAAATATTTAAAAAGAAAAGATATTTTCCAGGAAACAATGACCTCTAAGGTTTTCTCTATGGAATACTACTTGCTTCATAGGATGTTTTTAAGCAATTAATACTTTGTCTATTTAATTGTATGAAATTAAGTGGAATGACATAATACCTATTTAATAGTGATACTCAAAAAACTAAAGATATGCTTTGAGATTTCTGAAGCTAAATAATACTTTATGGGTTTTTAAATACTTCACTATAAAAACTCTGAGCATTGGTGGAAAAAGATAGGTATTAAACGATTTCACTCATATGTGGAGTATAAGAACAAAGAAAAAAACTGAAGGAACAAAACAGCAGAAGACTCACAGAACCCAAGAATGGACTAACAGTTACAAAGGGAAAGGGACTGGTGAGGATGGGTGGGAAGGGAGGGACAAGGGGGAAAAAAGGGGCATTACCATTACCAGACATAATGTAGTGGGGGGCACGGGGAGGGCTATACAACACAGAGAAGACAAGTAGTGATTCTATAGCATCTTACTATGCTGATGGACAGTGACTGTAATGGGGGTATGTGGTGGGGACTTGATGATGGGGGGAGTCTAGTAACTATAATGTTGCTCATGTAATTGTATATTAATGATACCGAAATTAAAAAAAAACAAACTCTGAGCATTAAGACTAATGCCTGAATTTAAGAAATATTTTTGCTTACTAACTTTATTTTAAATATTATCATTATTAGTTTGAATATTTACATTCTGTTTACCTTATTTTTAAAGTATTGTCTGGCATAACTCTTCACTTGTAAAACAGTACGACTTCCAATTAGCTTTGCAATTTTGGTCCACCTTCGGCCAAATTTAGCCTGTTATCAAAATGGGAAAGAAATTGCTTTTGCTTAATTTACTCATTAATATTGAAAGCAACTGCAACATCAAAACAAACAAAAAACCTGAAATACCAACCAATCTTTATTTTCTAAAGCATACAATGAAGCCACATACATAGTTAAGAGTCTAAAAATGAAAGCCTACATTCTTCTTTTGGAATCTGGACTTTTGAAAACTGACCAAAATGATTTAGAAATTAGTTTTCTTTTTATAACTATCTAAAAGAAGATCCATCACTTTTATATATTCTTAACAGTATGTGTTCATATTACGAATTACAATGCTCCAAATCTAAGAAACAACTGCCTGAAAGACAGGCAGGTTACATTTTCCATTCATAGATCCAACTGAGTATGTTCTGATACTAAATTCAAAACATTAGTTTTTACCTAGATTCCACCTGTTACAATATCCATTACCTGTCCACTGCAGATACATTTACTTTACACAAGTATCACAGTAAACTGTCTTATAAATCAGAGTGAAGCAACCTGCAACCAATGCTTCACTACATTCCTCTATCAAAGGCGGCCCACCTACTAACACGAGAGCTGTGGTGGGAAAACCCTGAGCATGTGGGGGAGCTCTAGTGTGTTTTGAAGTATAGAAAGGAATGCAATATAATTAGCCTAAAGTTAAAAGAGATTTTTAGGTATCAAAAGCCTATCATTTGATTCATAAATCTCCTTTATAATTTCTCCAACAAAAGATACTCCCTACTTCCCAAAGTAGCTTAATAATCCTAACTTTTTAGTTGTTAAATTATGAAAAACAACCAACCAAACAAAAAAAGCCACAACTCAGGAGGCTGATACCAGGGCCAGATTTATATAGGCCAGGCAGTCATGACTCGGCAAATCATCTTAAAAAATCTGACTCGAGCGGTGAACTTTAATTTATAAACTTACTTTTGGTATTCATTAGAAAATACGACATATGGATAATTTCTTAAAACTGAAAGTACTTCTGGGAAGATTTTTAGTAAGAATTATTTAAGATTGTTAACACTCAGCTGAGATCAATTTACTGAGGTGTGAGTTATTGTTATTATGGGATGAAGACAAATGGATAACCTCATAGCATGGAGTACTCTGGAAACGGAAGATCTGGAGCAAGTGTGACCAGTTGGGATTGTAGGGGTCTAAGGAGTATGAAAATTGGTCTAGGGGGTGGGGAGCACACTAACAAGAAGAGCAAAGAAAACATTCACCAATTTTAAAATAGAGCAACAGGAAAGCTTTATGCACAAAAAAGGGAAGAAAAAAATCTTCCTTCATTATTGAGTACCACATAAAATTCCCTTCTCTCAAACCTAAGAGAACTCAGTCAATAAGCAAACTATATCAAAAGGTTAAAAAGGCCAGGAATACAACCAACAGTTCCATGTATTTTTGTGGGAAAACATTCTAAGTTTAAGATATGTTCAAATAGATGAAATATCTACACATGCATAAAATAAATACACATTTGTTTATATATAGAGAGAATATCTCTGGAAGAATAAACATAGACCAGATTAAAATGGTTGTCCCCAGCAAAGAGAACTAAAGGCTGATATAGGCGAAAGAGACTTAATACCCAAGAACTTGAGGTATCTTTTGAATTTTGAACCATGTAGCCTCTCTACCACCAATATCAACAATATTAAACTAAAAATTCACAACCTATTTGTGTGTGTGTGTGGTCTTTGTTAAGGGGCAAAACACCAAAATTAACAGCAAACTCAAATAAATGATTGGTTAATTAAAGTTAGATTATATAATTATGCAAAACAATGAAATACCAATATAGAAAGCACCAACAGCACAGGCGAAAAACCTCAGAAGAGATAAAAAGACCCTTAAGATAGTTTATGTATTTATATATTAAAAAAAAAAATCACAAAATACACAGATGTCATGGTGAATGACTATACAAATACCAACACATTTTATTTCCCATTATCTGCTGAAATGGTAACAATGATATTTTAATTTGCATTAATAAATCCTACATATATATTCCATATTCTATATATGTGATATATAAATATATATAATTTCAAAATTAATCAGTAACAGTAATACTGGGTAACATGTACCTTAGAGGAAAAGATAACAATCTACTCTTAAAAAAATATTCCCAAATATTTCATTGTTTCTTCATATTAATAGGAGTATTTTAAGAATGAAAAACTAGTGTACATATTTTTTCCATCATGCAACTTGCAGACATTTAAATAAATCTCAGCGGAACATTCATTCAAAAGAAACATTTCTGGTCTTCAAGTTACATCTACTAAAATATTTTAGACTGTGTGTACAATGTCAAATATCTGAATTAAAAAAACTCAGCTGATCACCAAGAGAGTTCCATATATACAAATTTTTATTTTTCTCAAGAGAAAACATCAGATAACTAAATAATTTTATCTTTTAATCCAGGTAGTTGGTGTTATGTATATATATATAGCTCAATATGATGGGTTTTATTAACACTAAAAAAAGATGAAAACTATCTGCTATATTGATGTAAATCTATTTTAATATTTTAGTAACTTAGATATGAGGTCAGAGGAGGAATTCTCTTGTACTACACTACAAACATCATCACTATAATACAGAAAAACTATAGATTGTGATCACTAAGAAGAAAAAGAAACTTCCGGTCTCTACAAATTAATTTAACCTTATAATTCTACCAATATTTGCTTCTAGAATTATTTTACTATAAATTAAAAATTGCTCTATTTACCAGCCCTTGTTCAAACAGCTCTTTTTCTTCTATCGTCCACTTTACTGAGTAACTGGCTGGTTTTGTAGGACAGTGTACCCTGAAGGGAAAAAAAGGAATTGCAAAAAAAATTTCTGAAATGGAACATTCCATATTTATGCAGCTAAAGGTTAGAGATAGCCATTGGCCAAATTCAATACTTTGAGTATAAGAATTAAAGAAGAAGAAAGACTATAGCCTCTACCTGGGTGGACAGATTTACCCTGTCTTGTATACTTCTCTAGCTCAGGATGATAGGAGCCCCAAAAGACCTAATCCTTGGGTCTGAGTGAAGATACTAAAAGACATCAAAGGAAGTCAATAAGATAAAAACAAATAGGCTTTCTCAGATTGGATACAAAGAAGCAGACATTAACATACTTCCAAATCCTGAAAAGCACCTAAGAGTTTAAATTGGCTTCAGAAATAACTCTGATTCTTCCATGAAAATCTATGTAAATACCAAGCCAGAAAAGTTAAAATCTATGGCATTAAATTTATTCCTTCTGAAATGTAGTACCTTAAGAAATTAATAAAATAGTGATGTAACTCCTTAACTGAAGCAAACCATTAATCTTTCCACTTTTTGTTGTTTATTGAGTGAAATACAAAAGCCAAAGTTTGCCTAGTGCTTAAACTCTTGGCATAAGTCTACCCTTTAGTAGACCATAAACATGCGAATTTATAAACACTCAGTAACATCAAATTTTCTTCAATTACAGGGAAAGGATATTTAACAACAGTTAATATTTAATTTCTCTAGATAATTTATGAAAGCCACAAATGCAAACTAAATTTGTCTGAAATGACTGAAAATCAACTGACAGGACAACAGAAATCAAATCAATTCCTAATATATTAGGTAGCAGCTCTTAAAAATTTTCCCACAAATCTCTGGAAAGGGAAACTATCTTTTCCTTCATCTAATGGAACTGCCTATGTAGGGCCATAAAAGAAATTCTGGCAAATAAATAACATCATAAAATCATTTTGTAGCATTTCAACACCTGTACAAGAAATTTTGGTTTTATATTTTTGTATAACCAAAGGCCTAGAGGGCTTTTTCATAAGCCCACTACAATTTCTTGTTTAATTCTTCCAAGATTTTTAAGTAATCAAAAGGTTTTAAAATATAAAATAAGTACATACATGATTTTTGCTGTTTTCTGCAGACTGCACCACATGAAAAAAAAATAAGGAAGCTTGTGAAGAAGTTTTTAAAAGTAGAATTCAAACTTTTAAAAGTATTACAAATTGATTTTACCTTTTCATGTATTTCTTATCATCTTCCTTTTGATCAAGCCAGAATTTTTCTGGAAGTGATTTTTTAGATAAATAGTATCTGTGTAATTATTAAAGAAACTTTGAAACATAACAAAGTCATATAATTTTTATATGACTTACATAAATAAGGAGGGCACTCATATACTTATGAAAGTCATACTTGAATCCTGGCTAAACCAATGCCTCTCAAAATTCTATCCAGGTCTACAAAAATTATAAAATAAATTTGTCATTATATGGATTAAGTATTACATGTGAAATCACATGAACAGTGCCTGCACAAAAGGTGTGTTACATAAATGCTAGTTTCTCTTATCTTCTTTATTAAAAGTGGCTAAGAAATATCCTCAATGTTTTATTTAAATCTTTTTTCCTAAAATATATGGAGAATGTAACAAATGAATTTGATAGGTTGTCTAGGGCAATTTAGGAATATTTATTTTATATTCTAAAGGTAACAGAGAAGAGCTCAGGGTTGTTCTCTACCCTAATAAAAGTGATAAACACTTTGGTTGTATATAGGAGGAAGCCTCCCTCTCAACCTTCTTAAAACTGGCCTACTGCAATACTCTTAGATTAGTCTGATATGTTCTTCATTTAACCAATATTGACTGTGTATTATATATGTCAGGCACTATGCTAGGTACTAGAAGCAAGGACAAAGACAAAAGAAAACATTACCCTTATCCTCTAAGAACTCACAAAGGCTCTTACTCTCCTTATTTCTGTTTCCAAAATAGGAATTGAACTAGTGACTACTTAAGGATTCATTAATCTAGAACTGCATTGTTTAATATATTAGCTAATAGCCATACGGGTAGCTATTGAGTACTTAAAATGTGGCTAGCATGAACTGAGATATGGTACAGTAAGTATAAAATAAACACTGGATTTCAGAGTATTAAACAAAGAATGTAAACTATCTTCATGTTTTTATATCAGTTAATGTTGAGATGACAGTATTTTAAATACAGCAGATTGAATAAAATATACTGCCAAAATTAATTTCACCTATTTTAAATGTGGCTACTAGAAATTTTAAATGATACATGACTCACAATATTTTTCTATTTAAAAGTAATGATCTGGCTATAATAACAATGTTTGGGGATAGTTAGAAATAAGAAAGCCTAAAAGGGATTAACCTATAATAATTAAAGGTACACAAATACTTTGAAATCAATAAAGCAACTGGGAATAAAAGGAACAGAGGAATTTTGCTTTAAAAAGGAGGCAGCAATCCATTAAATACAAATTAAAGAGTTAAAAAAACCCCCACTACTTATCAGACTAGTATTAATATTTATAAATCAGAAATCAGAAATCATTTTGTTCAATCCTTTCATTAATACATGTAAGACAACTAAGTTCCAAAGAAGTTAAGTTGCTGACATAACAAATAGATGAAAGAAACAAGGTAAGTAGATAGTGGCTGAACCATGGATAAAGATAAGCAACTTCTGAGAGAAAAATTTTCATCCTGTAGTATTTGTTCTGTGCTTTTTATTTAGATTTCTGCCACATAACACCTGTAAATTGGCAGAATAAGAAGTTAGCAGTCTTACATATTCTAATTCTGTGTCCTTAGATAAATTAACATCTCTGGGTTTCTTCAAGCTTATGTAAATGAAAATGGAGACTAGGACTTGGACTATAGGTTCTAGTTGACTTAGAACATTCTATAAGTTCTACTCAATATTCAGATAGTATAAAGAGCTGGGTGACAACTCAAAAAATACTGTTAGAGATCAGACTTAGCAGTAAAAGCAGTAAACAAAACAGGAGGATAAAATGCTGCTTTCAGCATATGTAGGTAACATATATAATAGCAGACTGGGCCAAATAAAACCCATCTAGTAATTAACAGTGGTCTCATTTCTCAGTTTTGCATTTACAGACTTTTAACCCTGAAATATTTCCTTTCCTCATAATCATTAAGGATACTCTTCTTCCAACAACATTTTCTCAATAACAGCTCTGTTCTCTTCACTGATGGTACTATCCAGAGTCCAAGGCTATAAAAAAGAGAAGAATATATTTTTATTTACCACCTTTTGAAATTATCTTGTTTTGTTGAATGAAAATACATAATGAATCAATGATTACAAATAATACAGCTACCATTTACTGATCATACAGAAATATCTTTGCTTCCCAAGATGCTATTAGATAGGCTTTATTACTTCACAGAGGCATCCACAGCACTGCCAGCATTTCAAGTGTAAGAATTGAGACTTGGTGCACAAGTCTGTGGGATTCCAAGGCTCAGGCTCCTATGCATGATAAAGTAATAATAGCTATCACGTGTGAGGAATTACTGGGTATTGGGCATTTTGCTAAATACTTCACTTATTCCCCAAACTCACAATTTTCTATTTTTCCTTACATCACAACTTCTTAAATGATCAGTCATTTTCAACTCTCAAAGCTTAAAAATTATCAGCTTAGGTCCCTTTTTCAAGCTCTGTCTAGTTTGCTATATCCAACTTCCCACTCAAAATTTCCAAGTGGTTATCTAGTAGGCTTCTCAAACTTAACATATTCAAAATAGAACTCACATCACATATCTTCACCTGCTTTACTGCCTGCCTTCCCAACTTAAAAAAATGGCACTACTAGTCACCAAGTTATTCCAGCTTGAAACCATCCTGTGTTCTTTCCTTTTCCCTCAATCCCCATTATCCAATCTACCAACCAAGCAGTTCTAGCTCAAAAATGTAATTCACATCTATTCACTTCTGCAACAACCTCAGGCCAAGCCACTACCAGATTCTGCTCAGATTACTACAAATGTTTCTTAGCTGGTCTCTCTGATTCCACTCTCCCTTCCTTTATAAGTATGATTCAGCTCTTATTTGCCTCTCCAACTTACAGCTGTCACTGTCCCCTTTCCCACTCTATTCTAGACACTGGCCTTCACAAGAGCCTTTGTGCTGCTATTCCTTCTGCCTAGAATGTTTTTCCTCAACTCTTCACACATCAACTCCTCTCTTTTTATTACTTTTCAATTTAAATGTTGCCTCCTTGGTTTCCCTCACTGACAACTTCCACTAAAGTAGGTTCACCACCTTATTACTCTCATTCAGCATCTTGCTCATGATCTTCATGACCTATAATTACTTTGTCTACCTGTTTATCACCTAAGTTCTTTGAGAGCTGGACTATGTTTATCTTGATTATAGTTGCATCCTGTAAACCTGGCTTTGTGTCTGACACATGGTGGGTACTAATATAACTGCTAAATGAAGAAAGGAACCCTGAAATGACCCCCATTTCTTAGATGAGAAACTGAGGTTCAAAAATCTGGTAAGTACAAGGATTTATACCTAAATCTAGTTGGCTCCAAAGCTGTTTCCCAGAAAGCCATTTCAAAGTCAAAATAAGTGAGAATAAATTTCTTCTATTTTTGATGTAAGAAAAATGTTTCAGTGTTACCTCTGACTGCTGAGAACTAGCACCAAGAGAAAAAAATAAAAGAGGTACTCTGGGCAATGCGTAATAGCTTAACGCACCTTGTATTTTCATAAAATACTTACAATAAGACCATTCTCAGTTCTCCACGATGAATCAAGATAATGATCTTGTAAAGCAGATGCTGTATTTTCATCACTTCTGTAATAATTAAGAAAATGGGTATAAAAATGATACACCAGTTAATGGATATAATTTAGATAGCACAGTGACTGAAGGATGTAGATGTTAAACAAATATTTAGTTCCCTTTTCCCCTTAACTAACAGATTTAATATTGCATAAATGTGTGCCCCACCTCTCTGGCCTGTGAAATACACAGAGGCTTTAAGCCTCCCCATCTCAGTTACTAAGCATCATATCTGTTCTCTTGTTTCCCATGAATAAACAATTTTATGAGGAAAAAAAATACCCCAAGGGAGCAACCTCAACATGCTCTGTGGTCATGAACCAACACTTTCAATTTCTTTTGATGAGTGTCCATGTGTATACAGGAATTCATCTTCATTAATTAATTCTTTTAGTTTTATCTAAAGCATAAAGCCATCAACTGTACCACCCTCAAAATGGAAAAAAACAAGAATATATGGAAGAACCACAATAGAAAATACTCAAGAGTTCAGTACAGTGAAAAGATAGTGTGATGTTTTCATTACAATTCATATAATTAAAAAAACTAATGGGTTACATGAGGGCTTTTCTATGTCTCTGGGAGATTAAATGTTAGTTCTCTCACTCCCTTTATTGAACTAATGAGAACTCTCAAAGTCAAACTGTTCACTTCATATGCGGTTGAACAGTCAAGTTTTGGGAAGCCCAATTTATGCTATAATTAAATATTTGCTTTGGTATGTCTTTAAGTTACTGAGTTTCCCAATTAAGTTGTTGACTTCTCCCAGATCTAGTCTAGTGGTTAGAATTTTATACCTCTTAGACTGCAAGGAACTACAGGTTTACACTTTTGAATCTTCAATTGGCACTAGTTACAATAAATTGTGGAATTAATAGACTATTTTTGATGAACTAAAAGCAATGATGGTAAAAAGGTTTGAACTAAAGTGTCAATGCTGGCTTGGTGTAGGCTATCAGGAATGCTAAATAAAGGATTTTGAGACGTACTGGCAAAAAGACACCTTTGCTTAACTAACTAGGTTTGCCAAGAGTGCAGGAGGTGGAACTAGTGTCATTTCAAGTTTACTGCAAGAATCTTTTCAAATAGTATTCCCCAATAAGGATGAACAACTTCTACACCTCTTGGTGTATGCAGCTGGACATCTACCTGAATTTTCATAAGCACCACAAATCAACATGTTCAAATCTTAGCCCACCTTGCCTCTCAAATCTGCTCCTCTTCCACTGTTCCCTATCTTAGTTAGTGGCACCTCCAGTCCCCTTCTTGCCCAAGCCAGAAATCTGAGCCTGCCCATATTTCTTCACAATGTACATTCAATTTGTTGCCAATTCTGATGCTTCTCCCATTTTCTAATCCAGTTCTTCCACTATATTCACACTGACCTCTGAGGTTCAGTAGTTTCAGACCTCATAGTTTTCCTGGGTGAGTACATGACCTAAAGCTGACAAGCCATCCACCTTTTCTCTTTTATCTTTTTCCACTTACCTCCATCTGGCTTATATATGTTTTAATACGTCTTATTCAATAAGAATGCTAATTATATGAAAGCAAGGACTTAAGTTTTGACAAGTGCTACATACCCAGTGTTTGGCAGATAAAAGCTGCTCATTCAGTATTTGTTGAATGACTGAATGAATAAGATAGGTGAGGCATGGACTGCACAGGTCTCTAGGAGTTAAGGAATGAGGATTTTATCACAAAGCCAACTGGGGATTGAAGAAATTATTACATGATCAGATATGGATGGAAGAAAGACCGCTCTAATTTCAGGAAACAGAAAGGGGTCAAAGGGACAAGAAACAGTTAAGAAGGAATGATTACATAAATACTAGAGAGAGGTGACAGGAACTTAGACCTAGGGAACAAGCAATGTGCACAGGAAGAAGTGAATACGTTTAAGAGGATACTAAGAATAAACAGACCATTAATACTGATAGGACAGAAGGGGTAAAAGGAAAGAGGTAAGGAAAAGAGATTAATCTAAGACTCTGCCTTGGGTTACTGGTTAGATGGTGCCATTTATTGAACTAGGGAACTTATAAAGGTAGATTTGGGGTGGGGGTGGGGTTGGAATTTATAAGCTGAGACTGAGGTGCCTGTGAACAAACATCCAAGAGCACATCCACAGGATTGGATAAAATGGATCTGAAGTTCAGGAGAGAGATTTGGGTTGGTGACAAAACGGAGATCTTCTGATTCCTGAGCAGTCTAGGCCTTTAAAAAATAACTCCAGAAGCACATTTAAAAAAATGGTGGGTATCAATTTCTTACTTGGAAAGCAAGGAGTCAAAGGGCTAGCTAGCTCCCTCAAGCTGGAGGTTGCTGTTAAAACCACACTGGCCTGCTCTGCAGAAGTCCCTATTAAATAAATTGCGATCCTTCACTGGGTCCTCATAATTCCATCACTGAGGGTAGCGGGATGGTAACGAACATTTACAGGGCACCTACTGTATGATAAAGCACATCCCATAATTATTTCATTTGATCCTTCATAATAACCATACGAGATATGCATCATGATTGTCAGTTTATACACAAGATGTCGAAGTTCAGACAAGTTAAATGTCTGGCCCAAGGTCACACTGCCAGTAACTGGCACGGCCAACCAATGCGGAAGGAGAACCCAGGGCTGTCCAACTCTAAAGTCCTGCCTCTTTCCTTTAAGTAAAGTCGCCTCTGTAGTCTGTCACATTTACCGCTACGTGGATAAGGAAACCTGTGGCCACTAGGGATGAAACAACACGCCGAAGGTCACACGGCTCGCAAGCGATGGAACAAGGATTCCTGATCTCAGGATCTGTCCACGGGCCGCCCTTGTTCTATTTGTCAGACGAGGGCAAGGGGGCGGATTCTGGCAACAATATGGTGTGAAGGCAACGGGGGAAGGAATCTTACTGTAGAAGAGAGTACACCGTGCCAGAGTAGGTGCCCTCACAGTATCCGAGTAAAAGCTGAGAGTCACCGGCGCTAGCCCTAGGTACCCGCCCGCTGGGCTCAGGACCAGCCGGCAGGCGGGATGGGTGAGGCGCCTTCCGGGCCGCCAGGCGACACTGGCCCAGGGGATGGTCTGTCGCTCCCCTGTCCCTTGCTGGACCCTCGGCCTGTCCAGAGTACTCTCGCATCCGCGCTCCCCATCCCCGCTGCGAGGCCCGGTCTCTACACCTTACCCTGGCTGTGCTGCCGCTGGCACCACGTCCCCTTCCACATCCACTTCCACCTCCTCGGCAGCCATGTTGGGACCTGACCCCATGCGTCCTCGAGAGATCCCGCGAGAGGTGGACGCCAAGGGGCGGGGCAATGCGTCACGGGGCGGAGTTGAAGCGTCTTCCGGCATCTCTGGAAGTCGCGGAGGTGGGACTTCTAGAGAAACGCTACCGTCGTGCCCGGGGCTTGGTCTTTCTGACTTTTACTGAAGCGTGAAGAACTTGGCAAGTGGTCCAAGCTTGGGAAGTGGTCAGGCTTGGACTTTGAAGAGGTTATGTTCTTGGACAAATTCTTTAGAGCCTTAATTTATAAACTGGGTGTAATAGTAAATGTCTGTCTGGAGTGCTGAAAAGGTCAAGCCAGAGCTGCTTTGACCTGTGAAGGTAACAACAATGAAGGACCCTTACTTTCTGGTTTTCTTTCTTTTTTTAAGAAAAGGATTATTCAACACTTCTGTGAAATGCTGAACAACTTATATTTTAAAATTAAAAAAATTTAGGAATATAACTTATGATTGTTTATATTTTATTTCATAGAGATCTTCACAATTAATTTAAAAATTACTCTCACCACCATTGGTCTTTACAGTAACCCAATGAGGTAAGCTGGGCTAATGTCATTGATCACACTTTACAGATAAGAAAACTGAGGCTTAGAAAGTAGACTCCAGGCCTTTTGACTCTACTGAATGCTCACCTTTTACAAATTATGTTACTAGAAACTGTGAAAGATAAACACCAGTTCTCTCAAAGACTTTCGGGCTTCTCAAGAAATTAGATACTGCCCTTATGTATGTATTCTACCTTAGCATCTATCACACGCATTATTGTAACTGTTTATTCACTTGTCTGACTCCATCACTGGTCTTTGAGTTCTTCAAGGGTAAGTGCTGTATGTATCTGCTAGTCTTTATACTAGTCCTTATACTGCCAGCATGATGTCTGACATGTAGTAGGTGCTCACTAAATACTGAACTGATGAATAAATGACTCAATTAGTTAATGGAATGAGTTCACTTTACTGACCTACCTATTCTCAATATGTCATATCTCACCTTTGTTTGTGCCCAGGGCATAAGATGAGCTATACTGTGAATGTGAGGGCAGAAGATGAAGTGAGAGATTTGTGAGAAGGGAGATCCAGTGCTCAGCAGCTGAGGAGTGCCCATCCTTAGGCCACCTTGGGGGTGCTATTCCTGTTACCAATGAGCAGTCCAGTGGTAACTGGCATGCCTGGCACAGGTAGACATTCTAAGTGTTTGTTAGATTTAATTTAGAGCAATGTTAGAAAGATTTACATGGCCAGATAGTTCAAAGAAATGTAGATACAGATGTCATTCATTGATCTTTACAAAGCAGTCTGGATGAGAACCCTGGAGGTACTGTCTTGATACACATGATGTCAAATACCTCCTCGACCACGACACAGAATACTATGTGCCCAGCCTCTCCAGCAGCGCTGCACTGAAGAAGGCCTCCCTAAACATGGAGGCTAGTCTGATGCTTCCTCATATATACCCTACACTCTGCTCCTGGTTAGCTGACTTTGTGTGAAATAGGCTCCTTAATAGTCTAGGCCCAACCCCAGAGGCAACGATAGGGATGTAACTCCACAGTCAGGTAGACTCCTGAGGCCTGGTCTACTATTTAAAATTCCTTGATATAGAGGTTTGCAATTTTGCAACCTTTTCAAAGACCCATTTTCTCACCAAGTAGTTTGAAAGCAGAATGAAGAATGGAGAATTCACATTCACAAATACTTGTATGCCTACTTTGCTCCATGCTGGGGATATGACATTGAAGAAGATAGACTCAATTTCTACCCTCATAAAGTTTATCAAACATGCAATTTCAAGATGATGTAGTGAGTTCTGTGATGGAGGAGTTATAGGCTGATTTGTGATCACAGAGAGGGACACTTATTCCAGAAGGAACCCTCTCCTGTACCACATTTTTGAGGAGGTTATTGATCAGTCAAAATTTGGTAATGCTCTAGATCAGGGAATACAAAATAGAAGACCCTATCCCTAACCTGGAAAAGAACCAATGGAAAAATATTGGAAGGAATAGTGTCTGGCACTCACATGGAGCAAGGAATGGTGCCTGTTGCCATCAACCTCATTACTCACAGGGCACTGGGTAAATACCTCAGGAAGGTATTGCCATCAGCAGCTCTGAAGGGATCAAACTATTTCCAGGCAAACTTAACTGCATTTCCTCTTCCCCACCCACCTCCAAAAATCCTCATGAATATTTATAGGAATACAAAAATAACCAGCACCCAACAAAACAAATTTCAAAATTTCTGGCCTCCGACTTCCAGGCATACAAAGAAGTAGGAAAATATGACCCATAATTAGGAAAAAATGTCATTTAATTGAAACCCACTCAGTACCAAAAACATGTTAGAATTAGACAATAAGACATTGAAACAGTTATTTCAACTGCATTGTTACATTCAGAAAGTTAAGTAAAGGCATGGAAAATAAAAAAAGAATGAAATTGAATTTCTAGAGATGAAAACTATAATGCCTGAGATGAAAAATGCACTGGGTGGGATTAATGGCAATTAATGGCAAATGGCAAAGGAAAGGTTAGTGAACTTGAGCACATAATAAAAGAACTATCCAAAATGAGACACACAGAGAAATATAAAATTTAAGAAATGTATAGAAAAATCATTTCCTAACATGTGCAATTGCAATCACTGAAAAGTTAGGGTAGGAGTCAGGAAAAATATGTGAAGAAATAATGACTGAAAACGTTTCCAAATTTGAGGAAAACTATAAATTCAGAGATTTAAGAAACTCACAGAATCCCAGACAGAAGCATAAAGAAAACTACACTAAGGCCCATCATAAATTGCTCAAAACCAATAATAAAGAGAAAACTTTTCAGAGAATAAAGGCATGTTGACTATAGAGGGAAAAAGATAAGAACGACAATAAACTTCTTCTTGGAAACAATGGAAGCAAAAAAATGGTAAATCAACATCTTTAAATTACTGAAAGGAAAAAAATAGTCAACTTAGAGAATTGTACACTAACAAAAATGTTTTTCAAAAATGAAGGCAAAGTTAAGACGTTTAAGACAAAATCTGAAGAGCTCATCATCAACCTACCTTTACTAAGAGAAATGTTGAAGAACATATCCTTCAGGAAGAAAGAAATGACATCAGATGGAAATCTGGATCTCCATAAAAGAAGGAAGAGCACAGGAAATGCTAACTACCTGGTAAATATATAAGATTTTCTCTTAGTATTTAAATCTCTTTAAAAGAGAATTGACTTCAAACAAAAATAACAATGTAATATGAGATTTATAACATATGTAAGTGAAATATATGATAATATAAAGTCTGGAAAGGGAGAAATGCAAATATATTATTGTAAGGTTATTATACTACATGAAGTGGCATAGAATATCACTTGAATATGCCATCACTGATATATTAACAATGTGTAGCATAAACCCTAAAGTAATCACTACAATACGAAAAACAAAATCTGAATGTTACAATGAGTATTCCTATATTACTTGTACTATTTTTTAAAAAACAATGAAAAAGAGGGTTTGCTAACTTGCTAAAGGATATAGAAGAGAGAACTAGGAATTAGTGGCCAGGTAGTTTAACTAGTGGCCAGGTTTAAAACTAGTGTTATTTTTCCCAAAGTCGACTGTCTCTCTAGTTTAATCATGTGTCAAATATGAATATTTTCTGCCCTTGGTGGGTACAGAGAGTTGACTCAAGGACTTGTGAGTAAAGAACATCAGACTGTCTTCAGAGCTAAATGGTGAGATGACCTCATCAGAGCAGAGATATACAGGTAAATTTAAAGAAATGGAAGGACATTGAGACCTGAATAAATTTACACATCTAAATTCACAGTGGTAAATGCTGTTAGTGCCATTACAAGCAATGTCCAGGAAAGAAGCTGGAGTACATAGGTTACCAGTTCTAGGATGAATGGAGAAATTCTATTTTCTATCCCATCAGCCACACCACCTATACCATGATAAGGCAAACACCATGGAAGGAGGAACTCTGTTTCATTCACTGCTTTAATCTATAGTAGTGCTGGCTGCATAGCAGGCACATTTTTTAAATAAATAGTCACAAAAGGCCATGACTAATGGAATGAAACCATTGCAGAGGAAACATACTTAACTCCTTGTTCTGACTCCACACTCAGAAAGTAACCTTCAGATATTGTGAATTATCTTCCCACAGAAACAAGAGACTGGATTGATCATACTGATGTAAGCTTTATAGACATGTGGCAGTCATAATTTGCAACACAAGGAACAATCTGACAGGCTGGTGGTCACATCAGTCTTGAAAGCCTTTGAGGTAGTGTTAGTCAGCTTTTTGGGGTCTGACCACTGTGCAAATCGAGAGAACAAGCTAGTTTATATACATTTAAGTGGGCTCAAGACATCCTTCTACTGTCTCAGGCAGCTTTCCCACTGTCATACCTCCTCACATCACTTTTTTTTACTAATTTTGTACAAATAACAGAAGACAAATACAATTAAATTTTAACTGAGATCTCTACAACTTCATAGTGTGTTAAAGGAAAGTTTTCAGGTGATCATATGTTTACACTTTTTACCATCAAAATGAACTTTTATATTATTTGTAGTCTCTTTAAAATCAGTTATTTAAACATACATAACATTATCACTCCCATTTTTAAGGTGAGGGAAACCAAGATTCTGAGAGTTAGTTACATAGCTGAGTATCAAAATTGGGATTCCAAATCAAGTCTTTCTTAGTCAATACTTCCTCTATTATGTTTTCATTTCATTACAGTAGAAAGAAAAGGGCATGTTGCAATACTATGTGAACTGATATTTTCTCATTTGGTTTAAGAATAAATCACACTCACAAAATATAGTGGTTTTTTTGAGATGCTTAAGTCTAGAAATGAGTAAAAAGTATATCTTGAAGTTTGGAAACTTGTCTTGAGCTTACAGATTCCTTTTCTGACCCTCATTGATACACTCTATTTGCTTTGCTGATCCTAAAACAAAATTAACAGGAGGTGTCATACTTACAAATCTTCCTGAATGTTGTTAGAGGAACATT